TCTCATGCACCATTTAAGACTCTATTCTCAAAATGAGTTTAAATTAAAAAGTTTAATTATTCCAGCTGCTGTAAGAAGAGGCTACAAATTATCCGCCAGCTGCAGCATCCACACACGTGATATAGCCTATTAGCATCCTTCTTTATGTATACAGACGTGATGTATTGGCGCAAAGACAAACGACCTGAACCACTCAAATTATAAAACATTATTACCGTTGAGATTCAAGCTAAGGTAAGGAGATAGTTTTGCACACTGACTGGTTATTTGTACTTAATCAATAACTGATTAACTGATCATTTTAACCACAAAATTTACGGAATGCATGTTTAACTGAAAAATTAGATCATAATTTTTTAAAAATTAAACATATGAATAGATGAATTGTAGGGCTGCACGATAAATCGAGATGGAATTGAAATCGCGATTCGACAGAAGCTGCGATTGTCATGCGTATCTTTCAGTGAAGCACGGTTCTGTGATCAGCAGTAAATCTCCATCCAAAGGACAGAGGGCGCTCTTGTGCTGAAACTCCAAATACGCCTTGCAGAAGAAACCCAGGAAATGCCTATAGCGGTAGCTGAATAAACAGAAGATTTAACTGTTTTTATTGATTCAACGTGACTAACAAACACACGATTATGACAATATATTGTTTATCTGAGTTATTATTATTATTATAATTTTCATTAAAATAAAGTATATTTATAATGCAATGCCTTTATCACTGCTTAGAATACTATGAAATATGTTGCGTGCCTTGTTCTGTGTAAGAAGCCACATCATCTCACAGAAGGATTTATTTCAAACACTCAACTGACGTTATGAAGTGAGTTTGGAGTAAAAATATGTTATTAAATGTGGTATTTTCACATGCTTTCAGATGGAGCAGCATTTACTACACAGAGCCGTAGTTCACTGAGAAGCTATGCAAACAGCTGTCATTATCGTGAACGATTTCTTTGATTTCATAATCGTGCAATAGAATCGTCTGAGATTTTTTTTTGCGTAACTTATCAGTGAACTACGGCTCTGTGTAGTAAATGCTGCTCCATCTGAAAGCACGTGATGATGATTTACTGCTGATTACAGAACCGGCTTTACAGTCAAAATGCGCATGACAATCGCATTTGATTAATCGTGCAGCCCTAATGAATTGTTCACAATAATGTTATTAATATGAATTTAGAAAACAGGCACAACACAAAAAGTAACATGCAATAAACACAATATTCATAAAATGTCTAAAATCTACATGGTATATTGGGTGCTGGAACCAGTGGCGTCGACAGGGGAGGGGTCATGGGGGCTCTTACCCCCCCTGAAAACTGATTAGACCTCCAGTGTGGCCCCACACTTCTATGTCTCTGTCATTCCAAAATTAAAATCTTTCGGCTTGTATTTGAACAATTAATGCTTCCGCATTGCTTCTCAACAACCGGGGCTAAAACTAGTGAGCTGCTGTTTTCCAACGAAAAAATTTGCTTTTTTCCCGCTTTTTTTTCAATAAGTACGTTACAGCACTAGATTTTGGTACCATCTTTCAGTATTAGGACAGACCAGGTTCAATGTTACCTCCTAGACCAAGATAATGCTAATCATTATAATGCTCTGTGGGTGGAATGTAATGCATAATAACACAACCAGGGTTCCCTTTTGAGCGTTCACTTCCCCTTCTCCGAAATCCTGAAACCTTATAGGATAACGCCAGTACAATAAACTGGCCAATTGTAGCTAATTATGGAAATCCCATGAAAATACTGACAACCGTGTGGGCAGTATATAATGCGGTGAGAGCGACAATTGCATCAGAATCTTCTCCTTCACGCTGCCATCGTTGAAGATGCACCTGAAGATAAGACAGTTTCTTCACCGCATCTGATGGCAACTTCTGCCAAATTTGAGTGGGCCCCATCGATCTGCCGGACCCACATGAGCACTGCATCGCCTGCCTGGGCCTGGCCCATGCTGAGGGGGCGTTCTCTGAGTCCAACTGCATGCACTGCGCTGACTTGCCGGCACGCATTTTGAGGACTCGGAGGAGTATTGATTGTGGCTTTATGGGGGCAAGGCCCACTGCCACCGTCGTTTTATTTGGAAACCCTGAGGAAAACTAAGAATCCATGTCCATCTCGGCGTCAGAAAAGGACTGGGCAGAGTCAGAGCGGGATCGCCCCGACACTGAGGGCCCCCCAGACCTCCAGGAGGAGTTCGCCAGGGTCCTAGCGAAAGCTGTTAAGGAGCTCGACCTCAACTGGGTTGCTCCAGAGGAAACTGCCAGGAGTAAGCTTGACTCCTAGTACTTCCAGTCAAGCCGACGCCTGGCTGCCTCGAGGAAGAAGGTCCCGTTCTTCCCGGATGTCCACGAGCAGGTAGTGAAGTCGTGGTCTGCACCCCAGTCGGCGGGCACGTCCACTCTTCCACTCAGTCAGGCCATGTTCTCCCACGTGGATAGGGTGGAGCCCCACGGATATGTGCGCATGCACCCCGTCGAGGAGACCTTCGCTACACATCTGTGCCCTTCCTCTGCCATGCTTGGTGCAGACCTCAACCTGTCTTCTAAGCCTTGCAGATTGACCGCTTACCTCGCTCCACGCTGCACGCGATGACGGTGCTGCAGGTCTGCTAAGCTCCTGCAGTCCCTGGACAGCGGCGGCATGGACACGGACATCGTAAAAGACCTGTGCTGTTCTGACCCACTGTTCTTTTCGCTATCTCACTCCCCGTTGATGGGAGTCGCTCTGACATCACGCTGGCTGAGAGCCAGACTTTATGCGACCCCAGCCCGGAGCTGTGGAGCCTTCATGTGTGGCTACTTCAGGGGTCCTAGAGGGGCTAAGCGCCCTGCCTCCCTGTGTGATTGACATGCTCACTAAGTCTCGTGCACCATCAACTAGGCACTGTATGCACTAAAATTGGGAGTGTTCATGAAATGGAGCTGTGATAGAGATTTCGACCCGGCGAACTGTCCTTTGTCGGATGTTCTATGTTTTTTGTGCAGCACAGGCTAGATAACGGGAGTCTACCGTCAATGCTAAAGGTTTATGTGGCCGCTATTGCTTATTTTTGTTCCCCGGTTTACAGGCAATCGATCGGGAGGCACATGCTGGTGGTCAGATTTCTCAGTGGAGCGAGGAGATTACATCCCCCACACCCACCGTCAACTTATAATCAGAGGGGAAAGTTGGTCACTATACCAAAGACCATTTTTGACCTAGGAAAACCCTGTTTGATGTTTCAAGTCAGATAAATAAATTGAAGGGGGTATTTTACCCAAAAATTTTAATTATGTCATCAATTACTCTCCCTAATGTTATTCATAACCTTTATGATTGTCTTTCTTCCATGAAACAAAAAAGAAAATGTCTTAATCCACTGTAATGAAAGGCAATGGAAAACAAATCAAGCTCTATTTTGATCACCACTGATACTCATTATATATGGACAATAACTTTCTTCACAATTTCTTTTGTCACATGGAAAAAAGAAAGTCACACAGGATGGAACAACAAATGTGTCATAGATTCACCAGGCTCGCCCGTCACACACACACACACGCACACAGAGCGCTCTCTCTCTCACCAGCCTTCTGACCATCAACTGCCACTCATCAGCTCATCAATCGGCCCTGCATTAAAGCATTAATTTTGAATTTTATTATTTTTGTGAGTTGCACTCTATTCACAGATTGGATTCTTTTATTTATCTTCTGAAAAGTGAAAAGTTAATACAAATTGTATTTGACTGTTCTGATTTACAGTACAGCAGTGAATAAATGCCATTAAAAAATAATAAGGTATCATGTTTATTGCTGATTTTAAAGCTTACTGAACTTCAAATGATTTGGATATCTACAGTTCTACACATAAATACACAACATAAGATTGGCCCCTCTATATTAATTGTGGCCCCCTTGTGCCCCCCAGTTGAAAAAATCCTAGATTTGCCCCTGGTTGGCAGAGAGTCCTAGATTTTAAAACACTTATTTGACAATTAAAATGAATATTAACTTACGTTTGTGATTCTCATGGTGGATAGGAGGAGATTGGGGGATTTCAGTTTCACGTTCTTCCTCACCCTCCTCTTCAGCAAGGTGAGTATGGGTGTAATGGTAGCTTAGTCCAGGGCGGTTTTTGTAACGCTTCCCACAAACTAAGATAAAGAACATTGGTCAGAATGAAATTCATTTTACTGGCAAAAACTTCTTATTCTCAAATAATTCTAGGTTATTCAAATAATCAAGCTGGGATGCTAACACATGTCTAAGGAATTCACAAAGCAGCTAGCTTTGGAGTCAAGGCGCTATCACAAAATCTACATGGCATGTTCTCAGCCAATGAGAGAGACATGCGGGGTGTAAGAACAGTGTTTAAGGCGCAGTATTAGCACTGCATCCCCACAGTGTGTCTTCATGAACACGAACAGGTGCAGAGCAAAACTATGAATATTACTTTTATCATATTAATTCACACCTCTGTTGAATGCAGTCAGAATCCATCACTGAAACTGTATGTCTTGGGTGCATTTATATGTAGCTTTTAATGTGGTCAAGCGCTTTCGGACTGTGATCCGATCACTGAAAACACATGTTAATGCCAGTTGGCCTATTAGATTACAGACATGGGATATATCACATAACTATATCCTAGTGTTGTTGTGTTTAATGGATACATAATACACATGAATTGCTGTTATTGAACATGTTGGCTTAGGTTGTCATATTATGTAAACCTCAGTACAGAAAATATTTCCTTCTACTAACAGGAGGATGCATAAAACATGTCAAGCATCTGTGGGTTGCAGACTGCAATACCAGCAAGGTAAGCACAATATTTTCACAGTAATAAATTCTCTCACTACAAATCTATTAAGAAAAAGGATGGACAAACCATAGAGAAGGAAAGCATGTGTACAGTATCTGAATATGATCACAACTAGGACATTTTTCTTTGATTTTTAAAGACAATAATTAGTAACTAAACTGATTTATATTTACATAGGTCTGTGTCATATGGATTTTTATTACATTTTCAATTTATTTTTCCTACATTACCTCAAAGACAACATGAAATTTACTTTTATTTTAAAGGGAAAAAAGGGTGAGCCTGTCCAATTAAATTTCAATGAATAAGTTAAATCCCTTCACACATTTTGTCCTGAATGATCATTCATTTTACTCAGATGTAAACTGTATTACAGTTAAATGCTTTTGAATGCTGTTTCCATGTTGTCTTTAAGTTTAATTTTTACATTTATGCTTAAAGGAGCACTAAGTATCCAACCATAGTGTGCTTAATTGTATTGAATGCACACTTGTAGTGTACTTCAAATCTTAAATTTGTAAAAAAAAAACTGTACTTGCAGATAATATAATATTAATATTATAAAAGGCCACTTAAGTGTACTTAAGGAGAGTATGCCTCCTTGAGTACAGAGAAAATACTGAACCAGATGATTTATGCTAATAATCTCTCCCCGACATGAGCATTAACTGTTTAGCCTTGTCATTAGCATAGCCCACATGTCCGAGCAAGAGCAAGATGGCAACATGGCTGAATACCTGAGTCAGCGGTTTTTGAGTTATGCTTTTGTTTGCATCTGTCTGAAACAGAGGAGACACAAAGCAAAAGAGGAGACAGAAAACAGAAAACAAAATACAGGAAGTAAGTTGAGAGGCCTCTGGAACCCAAAGTAGCTCTAGTATCTCCTCGCGTTGTCACATGCTTTTGATATTATAACAGGCCACCATGCCAAGACCAGAAACACAGACAGGTACCATATGACAAAATGAAAGACATGTTTAGGACCCTAAAATAGGACAGCCAAACAAACAGTGTCAAAATAGTTAAAATCCCATGATTAAAACAGAAGTCAGAGACAATAAACATTAATTATTTTATTTGACAGCCATGTGAAGTGAAAAAAATTATATTAATATTTATTGGGGTCCAAAAATCTGAGACTTTTAAAATAATTAAATACAAATTATATTGTCTGCATAACAATTAATCTGAGTGAAAAAAAATCAGAACTCAGAATGTCACAAATTTGCTTAATTGATTAATTAATTGTAAATATTTCTTTTATAATATATATATATATACATATATGTATATCTATAAAAAAACATATTTATTATATATATATATATATATATATATATATATGTATTTTAATTTCTCTGAATTTTAAAAGTTTCTTTATTATCAGGTGTAAAATTGTATAAAAATCAGATTTTGTAAATATTGGATTTTCAATGTCGTCTCAGACATTTGGACTCGATTAGGTTAGTTTACAAATTTCCTAAATAGTTTTTCTCTTGCAGTTCAAACGTATACAAAATTATATATCTATTTCAAGTTGCTTAGAATTTAAGGCACAAAGGCTGCATATGAAATTATGAAATTGACACTTACTGTCACACACGTACGGTTTATCCTGATCGTCGTTGGCCACTGCTTCTGTTCGCCTGCGCCCAGAGCCTCGACCCTGGTCAACAAATAACCGAAAATTACATTATATAATCACTTTCTTTTTGTTTAGATCATTTCTCGTTCATCTTTTCTTAGTCTCTGCATACACCATAAGTCAGAGAGATCAACACAGGCATTTCTTTTTCATGCTTTATTTCCCTCTCCGGTGTCAGTCCGCCTTGTCTCGGGCTGTCTCTTTTTCTTGCTCTTACTTGCCTTTTTTCCTTCACACCATCCGCAGATTTTGATGAGTCATGCTCATCACTCACCCTGCCTTTGTTTCGATGCTTCCTCTTTGGTGTGTCCACTTCAAAATTTTCATCGTCATGGAAACCATCCCCATTTTCATCTGCCTCAAGCACCCTCTGCAGAGAATGAAGAAAGTTGGGGTAAGCGATTAGATAACAAAGATCAATGCACTGCACAAGAAAAGACAACAGTCCACATACAGAAAGAGTGGAGAACTTTATTGTCATGTATGGACAATGGGGTCCTGAAAACACTGGATTTCGTAGCAAAAACTTAGCACAGGAAACACTAAAAGCTGGTTGTTTTTATGAGCAGGCTACTGAATCATTCATTCAACCGATTCATTCAAAAACGCTGATTCATTCAGGAGTGAAACAGCACCTACTGAGTGTTGCTTCTCCTGTGGCTTCGCTTGGAAGCATAAACAGGCACTGTATCTGGCACAATTGGGTTTAAAATGTAAGCTAACTTAATATTAACTTCTATTCAACTGTTGTATGAAATCAAGATTTTTCTTGCAGTCGTGCATTTTCTTTAATGATATTTGGTACAACATCACTCTTGCTTGTGTGATATTGTGAAGATATAATGTGCAGTGCATTGTGTAGAAAGCATGCTGCAGTTTGTGTTTTATCGAGTCTAGTGGTCCTTACCCTAATAGCGCGGTATTGTTTGCCAGAAGGTAGAAAACAAAACAGCTTGTGGCTGGGGAGGATGGGGTCTCAGATGATGGATTGGGCTTTACAGCAACAGTGAATGGTGGATTGCATCTTATAATGCTCTGCGCCATCACCTCAAACCTTTGCAAAGCATCTCTGTTGGGGTTTTTTTTTTCTTCACATTTTTCACTTTTAAAAATCATAGGCCTATTTATTGTGCCTTAAATATCCTAATTATTCATGGTTATATGTTAGATACATTTTATTATTTGTATATTATTGTTTTTTCCCCCTTCTGTCTGTGAATCTTTCAGAACAGAGTTACAACCTATTTTTGGTTCGTGACCCACCAACTGAAAACCACTCAGTCAGACTGTCACACAAGTCTGACACTGACTCTTAATATATTATCATGCACGACCAAACCAATGAAATCCTTTAGAAAGGACTGTCAATATGTTACCTGGATTTCCAGTAGTGTCTCTTCCTCTTTGGAGTTATTGTTCCTCTTGTCCAAGATCCCATCGCCTCGTAACAGAGCCTCCAGGGCCGTGGCCTCCGTCGCTGGGGCTTCTCTCTTGGCCATCAGCTCAGCCTCTAAACAAGAAAGAAAGAGGTAGAAAATGAGAATGTCAGGTAAACAGCCAGTAGAAGCAGCTTCTTTGAATCTCTCCTCCATAAACAGTGGGGTCCAAAAGTCTGAGAAAAAATTATATTACTTGCATAATACTGAGTGAAAAGGTGTGTTAAAAAAATTGCAATACATTTCTTAGTATGTAGTATTACTGTATTTCTAAATGTTTCTCTGTATTTACAGGGTTAAATAAAAACCTAAGAATAAAGTCCCAGATTTTTTCCCAGTTTTTGGACTTCACTGTATATTAAAATAAGAGGTACAATCAGCTAGAGACAATGAGTGAATAAATCACTTGTCTGAAGGCACTTCATAAAGGCATCAGTTTCACAGACATACACATGTGTGTATGTGCATGTGTGTGTACGTGTGTGTGTATGTGTGTTTTCCACCATCAGTTTGGGTAGATTTCTTGGACACACCAGCCATCAATATGTTTTTATAGGGTGGATAGCTTTTCAAGCCTCATTAAAGGTGAAAAGCTCCAGGTGCTGAAGATAAACTTGAGGATGTGTATGTATGGAGGAGAAGGCAGGAAAGAAATAGTCTTAAGCTGTGTCTCATTTCACTCCCTAGATCTTTATGATGTGAATTGCCATATCGTGAATACTATCGCGTACTAGCAAGGGCCTGGATCCACTAAACATTACTCATTATACCTATGCCATAACTGCAAGATCATGCATTCAAACATAGATGAATCTGATATTTATCAACATTGCTATATCCACCTTATTTTGCAACATGGAAGTAAGCTATTTTCTTATGACTAAGTAAAATAAGGTAGATATGCATCATGCATTTGCTGCTAGCTGTTTAAATGGGCCGTGCTATTATGTGATTGTGTTGCATTTTTGTTAATCAAGCAAAAAAGATTATGTACATATATAATAACTTTCATAAATAAAACAAATATAATAAAGAAAGACACAAAATACTTACAATATGAATATCAGTATCTCAAGGAAAAAACGTTTGGGGACAGTAAGATTTTTTAAAATGTATTTGAAAGAATTTACTATATTTAACAGGGCAGCATTTTTTTTATGATAATTAATGATACAGTAAATCAGTAATAATGTGAACTATTATAACAATTTAAAATAACTGTTTTCTATTTTAATACATTTTAAAATGTAATTTATTCTTGTGATGGCAAAGCTGAATTCTTAGTAGCCATTACACCATACTTCAGAAAATACTTATTATTATTATCACCATCATTGAAAACAGCTGTTCTGCTTAATATGTTTGAGGAAACTGTGATATTTTGAAGATTCTTTGATGAATAGGAAAAGAACAGTGTTTGTTTGAAATAGATATTTTTTGTAACATTGGAACTGTATCCTTGCCTAATAAATGTATTCATTTCTTTATTTTTTAAAAATTGGACTGATCGGAAACCTTTGAACAGTAGTGTAAATAAAACTAAATAAAATAGTCTTTTTGGGGGATCTTTATATATATTTAATATCTCTAATTACTACATAAACCTTTTACTGGCTTAGGTTTTTCCCCTTTAATGCAGATGAGGAATGCAAAATTAAAGAATAAAATGAGATTTAAGAAGGCACGATCATTTCTGAAAAGTATCTGATGATCATTTCTGAGTAAACATTTGATGTTCTCTGGTTGTTACAGTGCATTCTGGGTAGGGTGTGAACGTTTCAGTGCAATGACAATGACAGTTTAGAAATGGCTGACTCTCTGAGGAGTGCACTTACTAGTAAACTAAGGCGTGGGTTGAAACACACTCTTAGGTCTGTCACAACATTTTAATTGTTTTCTGATCTATAATCTGCATCAGTGGAGTTAAAGTGTTCCCAGAAGCTGTGGTTTCTGATGGCCATATCGTGTTTGCTGTAAGATGTTCCTACTCAGTATGTGTGTACATGATTGAGAATGTTTTTATGAATCTCTGTCCTTGTCTTTATTCTCTTTGTGTCTGATTGAGCCGAGACACACTCTTCCCCTGGGAGAGGATCTGAAAATAGCG